TCTGGGAAGATTCATGCCGGCTGATCGACTTCTCGAGTGACACATAGAGAAATAGACAACGGTATTTGCGTCTGGGTAGACTTCTGGTTGGCCTTGATGTAGTAGGAAATGGAGGCTAGGTCGAGGATTGTACGATCTTGCTGTGCGACCTCAGCTAAGGTAGATGAGGATAGTAGGCTGTGGAGAGGAACGGGATGTGTGTGCGACAGCAATGGGAGGTTATGAAGACAAATCGTGAAATGTTGAGTTCAAGACGCTGATGAGGTCAAGTCGAAGACGAGCCTCGGCTTGTCGGCCTTAACAGTAGCGGCTCTAAGCTGGCCGTGGCCGGCCAGGGGGAAAGTGCGGGGTGCGGGGGCGGGTCCGCCAGCCCAGCACAGCCTCCAGCGACGGCCGACGGCGACGGAACGGCATTGGACTGGGGACAGGGGCTGGGGATACACGATAATCGAGGGGGAGGTGGAAGGCTGGTCTTTACATGTAGAAGGAGGCATTGGCTGATGCGAAGATGTTGGAACAGGACATCGGGCACGGCATTCAATGATAAACACATGGTGATTTCTTTACACTAAGGACACTAAACAATATTCTACAATAAGTGTAGAACTTCAGAGTGTGAACAGACCAGAATAGAATTGCAACCTGAAAAACACGTTATATTATGCTCGGTAGTATGGATCACAAGTCGATAGGTAACACAGATGGTCATATCGAGAATCTGGTCTTTGAAAGAAAAGCCTTCGTCATGGCCATTTTTTGTACATTACCCAAGGTACATTGACAGCTTTCCTGCTGCAGCTGTCGCCAGTGGCAGCTTTCTCGTCGAACACGTCGGCCAACGGCGCGCTGGCAGCTGCTAGTGCCCGTGGGGGACCCCTAATGTCTTGTCGCCAGGTGTCTGTGCCTGCCTGTGCCTGTCTGTGCCTGGCGGGTCCCGCCCAATTGACATCACCCCCTCCACCGCTTCCATTGGACAGGTGCAATGGGATGCCCCAGAGACCTCAACACCGACCCAAAACAACATTGATGCAAACAACATTCAAACAACATTGAAGCATCGCCGCGAATACCTGGATCTGGAGCCACAGTCTTACCGACAACCCAACACCAAGGTCACAATGCCGTCATGGCTTCTGCACCACCAAACTCCCTCCTAGCTCGGTCGAGATCGTTACGCTCAGCCAGCAACAGGAACCCGCCAGTAGCAGCGGCAACGGCAACAGCAACAGCTACCCCTCAAGCAGCCGCTACACCGACAATTACCCCCAACCTTTCCATCTTCCTGACGAATCTGCGACTTCTCGACTTTGACTCGTACCCCGACTGGCCCGCCTTTGACGCCCAAACCTTTGCCATCCAGAAGAGACGCATTCAGAGCGTAGAATGGGCCCTCTTCCAGCTCTTCGCCCTTTGGGATCCCGAGGAGACACGCGTTGTATGTAAGCCCCGTCCCGGCCTCGAGCTCCCTTGCCCTGACGTCGAAAGAAACTGGAACCCTACTTCCCGCCCCGCGACCACGTGCAGTCCATCAACCTCCGATCCGCCCTGCAACGATGTCTCGAACAAGCCAAGAAGAACGGCGCCCTCGGCCGCGACGCCGTCGTGCGCAAGACCATGCTCGACGACTGCAAAGGCGACCGCCTCGAGGAGGTCCTCGCCGTCTTCTCCTCGGCCGTCCTCAAAAAGATGGCCGCCGCCGCCTCCGAGGCCGAGGGCGAACACCCCACCATCGCCGAGCAGCTGGCGCTCGAGAACAGGGGCTACGGCGGCGAGAGGGATGAGCTCGTGGCCCTGGCGCTCGCCCACAGGGTGTCGCTGACGCACGTGCTGCGCCGCAAGAACGAGGCCCGCCGCCGCTACAAGGATCTCAGCGAGCTGCTCGACATCAAGGAGAGGAGCATCGCGAGGAGACAGGCCGAGGCCGAGGCCGAGGCCTGCAGGGCCAACGGGCCGGGCGAGGCCGTCTCGGCGGATGCGGTGCTCGACATGCGGAGGATGCTGCGCAATAACTGGACCGGCAGCGAGCGCTGGATGGAGACGCTGCTGCAGGGCGACGCGAGCGCCCGGCACGATGGCGTCTTGTCCGCCCCCTTTGATCGCGTCTGGCGGCGCGTCGAGGCTGGCCGCCTGTCAGAGCTCGAGGACCACGGGAAAGGACTGCTCGAGCAGCTCGAAGGCCGCGTCAAGGCGCAGCGGGAGAGTCTACAGAAGTGGCAAAACTTTCAGCAGAAGATGTTTGGTCGCCAGCCGGACGTGAAGCCGCTGGCAGAAGCAGAGAAACGCAAGGAGCGCGGCATCAATCTCGGCTTCGGTGCCCACGAGACTCTACATCTTGGACAGTTTCCTGTTACAGAGAAGCTCTCGCTGCAAGCTCCAGAGCTCGACCCCGTGCACGCCAGCATTCTAGACGACTGCAAGAAGGACTTGGCCCAGATTGGGGTCGTACGGAGGACAGACATCAGGTCGTTGCTGGGGCCGCGCCTGCGCGAACCGACGCGGCCCGACAGGCTCTCTGTGGGCACGGACGGCGGCACCGAGGAGGGCGTCTCGGAAATCAGCGAGTTGGAGGAGGAGGAGGAGGAGGAGGAAGAACCCATCCTGGAAGCCGCCCTACCGCCGAAACCTGCCCATAGAAGAAACAACAGTCAGTCTTCGGCGCCTTCCTCCTCGCAACGGAGCGAGCCACCAGCCGATCCCCCACAGGAGCTTTCCAGACGGAGTTCCAACCGCCGCCCGGTCATCCACCGCAATACATCCTCCATCACTAAAGACCGTCCTGTCGTCAACCTGTCACGTTTCTCGTCACAGGGCTCCCACGCATCGGGCAGCAAGACATCCGACCGGCCCAGGAGTCGGTCCCCTGAGAAACCGACGCGGCCCAGCATCATCATCGAACCAGAACAAACTCCCTCGCCCGAACCCCCTTCGCCAACACAAAACATGGCAGACCAGATTCTCCACTCCATGGCCGCCGCATCCCCCTCGCCCGTCAAGCAGAACAAGCCTCGGCACACCTTGTCCCTGGCCGAACGCACCCGCATGTCCATGGCCCGCATGTCCTTTGGCGGCAAGGCCTTCACGCCCGAAGACGAAGACGAGCTCGACTTTAGGACGCTGCCCATACGCCCGGCCCCCATGGCGACGCCGACCGAGGAGGAGGACGAGGCGACCTTCGACCTCGGAGACAGCGCGCTTGACGATCTCGCCTCGCGGACGAGGAAGAGCATGGCCGGGTTCGAGGCCGCGAGAAAGAAGGCCCAGCTCGACCGGCGGCGCTCCCAGCGACAGTCGAGGCTGCCGCCACCGCCGAGACAGGAGGGGAGTCTGTTTCCCAAGGTCGAGGAAGAGACGACGCAACTGGATGTTGACGCGTCGGTGCTGGCTGATGAGCTGATCCAGGGGGAGGACATGGAGGCCGTGTTCAAGAGCCGGCCGAGGCTGCAGACGAGTCCGGCGGCGTCGCCGCGACGGCCCATAGAGAGCGACGAGTATCTGTAGTAGCCTGGACCATTAGCTCGAATGCACGTAGTCACCACATCACATGAGTCTCCATCCATGCCCGCGCTTATCGGTACTCGGTAATTGCGCTTCCCACGCGCGTCTGGCTGTATTGTACATGACGCCAACCTATCCTACAACACGCGCAACACGACTCGTCTTTCACCAGCCCTCTCACCAGCCCTCTCACCAGCCCTGGTTCCGCAGCTCCTGCACCCTCGACACGGTGGCGGCAAAGCCAATCTTGAACCTGGCCCGCCAGCGCTCGCTCCTGAGCCTCTTCCTCTTGAGACCGGGCCTCTCGTGGCGCTTCTGCAGGCGCGCCAGCTCCTTCGTGTTGTTGGCCCGCATGGCCTTGCCCAGGAAGATGAGGGCGCCGGCCATGTCGAGCCGGGCAGTGCAGTGAATGGTGCGGCCGAGAACGGGCTTGAGGCGCAGCTCGGGCTTGGGCGCCCTGTAGTGGCTGCGCAGAAAGTCGTCCGACTCGGCGGCGATGATCTTGGAGAGGTCGAGCGTGTCGGTCGACGTGGCGTCGTAGACGTGGTCCGAGGCCGCCGACTTGGAGGCCGCCGTGGCCGCGGCGAAGCCGCCCGCCGCACGGGGGGGCGATGACGGGGGCCGCGGCACGGCGCTCGCGGTCTGGGAGGGGGCGGTGCGGGCTGCCCAGGTCGGCTTGCCGGGGGCGTCGGAGCGCGGGGCGAGGACGGCGGTGGAGGAGGAGAAGAGGCGCGGTTGCGGCCAGGGGACTGGTGGTGTGCGGGTGGTCATGGTCGACTTCCAGGGGAGAGCGCCTGCTTGAAGCAGGCGGCGGCTTGCCATTCTGAGTTCGGACGCCCTGCTGAAGTTAGTGGACGATCTGGCGTAGAGGGGGTGGTTCAGGCCAGCTCATACATGATGACAGGCCACAACGATTGGCAATGGCAGCGTCGTGAAGCCGGCGAAAAGCTTCGGGGCAGCGTCGGAGTCGAGATGGTATTTCTGGTGTTCAATCGTCAAGCTGGAGCTCAAAATCATAGCGGAAAAAAGAAACCGCCGAATATCCGAAAAAACCCACACGGCCACCCAATCACGGCCTGGTCGCGTTTGGCTGCCACCACGAACGCGGCAGGTGCAGGCAGCCTGGCACTTGCTTGGCTCGCGCCGAAAAATACCCTTCGGCGACTGGAGCTAAGCTTCAACATCCTGACCACCACCAACATCCAACGGCGACAATCTTGGAATCGCCCAAGCACCCGAGGATCACTCGACAGACAGACATATACCGGTTCAAACTGTTGGGAAATCACAAGAAGGCTCACCATCAACACAAGGCGCCGTCTTTCGCAATCCGCACCAAACACAGCAGGCACCATCTGGCGCCATGGCATACAACCCATATGGAAGTAAGTCTTGATCTAGCTCTCCTCCCCAGCTCTCGATCTCCCCATGCTTACACCCCCAGACAACCCGTATGGACCGCCGCCAACGTTCGGCGGTTATCCTGGTGCCGCCGGCGCCGGTGCCCCAGGCATGGCTCCCCCGCCCGGTCTAGGTATGTCATGTCGCGACGCACCTCACCTCCAGCTACTGACCACTGCAGGCCCTCCGCCAGGCATGTCTTCCGCTCCGGGATTGGCGCCACCACCTGGTGTCCAGCAGTCCAACAACGCTCAAGCTAACCGACAAAGCGGCCTCCCGCCGAACTTCCAAGCTCCGAACATCCCCAACAACTTTGACTTCAGCGCACCCGTGATCCGACTCTCTGCACTGGGCGGTAAGCCGGGGCCTCAGGGTGACGGCGGTCGCAAGGATAGCAGCGCTCCTTCCTCGGGGAGGCCGGGCCTGGGCATGGACAGGCGGGACGACCAGTCGAGGAACGCCGCCAGGGACAACATCCAGTCGCTCGTGCCGCCTACCAACGAGGAGAGACTGCGCACCATCTTCATACACAAGATCCCCGAAGGACTCGGCGCGGACAAGAACATTGAGCGTCTGCTCAACTCGGTCGGAAGACTGCGCAGGTGGGGACTCAGCGGCATCACAACTGTCCGGATGGCAAGGGAGCCAAGTTCGGCTTCGCGCAATACGACAGACCCCAACTCGTTCGCCACGGCCGCCGAACATTCTCCAAGACGTTGAA